CCCCATAGAGAGTGCATACAGTTGATTATAGTTCCTGGGCTCTCTGTGGTGCATGCGACAACTTAAGATATTGAAAGCAGGCATTTTATTCGTCCATAATTTGTACAAAAATCATATTTTTTGTAAACATTATATAGCATTTTCCACATTAAATATTGTAATTTGTACGCATTTTCCAATTTTGATTCTTAAACACAAATTATAATATTATAAAAATGTAAACTAATTAGAAATTTGCTTTATCTGAAAAGTGTAAAAACCTATTTTTTTACTGTAAATGGAACTTTCCATTTTATATCCTATAAAATGCATTTTGTATATCCTGTAACATGAACCAGCATCCCCCTCTCTAATTATGGAATCATGAACATGCCTGTGGTGTGAATTTAACAATGCACATCTACATCTACAGCATATTTTCTTTTCTTAATTTATTTTTTATTTAAATCTGACTGCATTGTTAGGTCATCAAAGGCGATCTGAAGGCAGAGCCAAGGAATACAATCAAGTGCTACATCCTAGAGAATTCTGGGAAAAACACGTCAGTAAAAAGCTCCCTCTGGTGTTCAGAAATGCTGTTACTAAATCTGGAGCTTTTCAAAACTGGACTGATGAATACTTAACTGAAAGGTGAGATGTGATTGGCAGGCCTTGTATTCATTGTAGTAAGTTAAGTGGCCCTTCAACTTCATATCTATCGGTACCTACCTTCTGTTAATGGGGTTCAGTCTCTGCTATCCGCGGGGGCGGACATCCGGGCATTTTCACCGCTTGGCAACCCTGGCGGTGAAAACAAAGGCCAAAAACTCGCAGAAAACCGTACTTTGGGATGGTGGTTGAGACTCCCCTGAACAGTGTAACAAGATTAGCTCTACGTGTGTAACATATATAAATTTAGTTGTTCAGGATTACTTCAAAGTTGAGTTTGTGTTGTTTTCTCGAATTTTCACCGGCTCGACCGGCGTTCCATAACAGCGCGAAAAGAGCCCATAGAAATGCATGTACAGTGGTGCACGTCTTAGCAACATGGAACGTCTTGTGACGTAGCTCCTCCCCGAGGATAATCTGTACTATTTCAGTGTGTTTGTGCATATTGTACAGCTTTCCTTCTAATAGAGAGTTGCCAAACTAGCCATTAAAATTTGTCTCATGAATTCCCAGTTCCTGAATTGGTAGCCTTTACATGTTGATCGTTTATGCGCTTGCGCATATTGCGTGACCTGGGGCAACAATTTTTAAACCAGAAAGTAGGACAGATTTTGAAAGTTCCAAGCGTTAAGTCGCAGTGCACCGAACATCAATGTTTCCAACTCTCAACGTAAAAATTCCCCTGGAATAAAACTGCCATCATCTTTCAACTAACTCGTACCAGCCTCTGAAAATTTTTACCCACCCACACTCACTTCACTATCTTAAAAAACGTTTCAAGTGTGTCACTGACTTCTTCCGGGTTGCATGTCTACTAGTGTCTTTTGACTTGTTATATTTTTATCCTAACAATGCCCATTGCTAGGTAGGTTATGCATGCGTAAATAGAATTGCATCGCGTTTGACGATAATTCAGGAAACAGGAATTCATGGTCTGTTTCTTTATTTGCAGTCAAAAATTCAGACTCATAATCATCAACAAATAATAATAATAAATTAATTTTTAATATTCTAATTGATAACTACACAACCAAACAAAGTTGTCACTTGTCAACTGTGGCACTTTGATACTTAAATAGTATTTTTTTTTTCACTGTAGCTATGGCGATATTGATGTATTGATTGAAAAAAAGAAAGAACATCGCGAATCGGCACCAATCAGAATTAAATTATCCACATTCCTTGATAGTTACCACCATGAAGACTGGTACGTGGTTACCGTGTTACCGGATGAACTCAGACCAGATATACAGGTTGGTAAATAAATTATGTATGCTCATTGTAATTGTTTTGGTATAATGAATATTGAGCATCTCTTTTTGGATGCCTGATCATCTCAATGAAAAGTTGTGTGTATGTAGCTACCTTTAATAGTTAAGTAGATATCACCGAATACATGGTAGGATAAATACCAAATATTTACTGCATGTCTGACTCAAATGGATGCACCATCTAGCTAGCTTGTCTAGCTACACGTCATAGCACAACGTTCTCCCAGTTATCGTCAAAAAATGATACTTAATATATCTGTCACCCTAACGCCATAAGTTACAGCGTGCCGTAATTTTGCTGTACTTTACGGAGTATTTTCATCCTACCATATTTGGCAACGTGAATTTCGAATATGAAATTTCACCAATAATAATAACAATTCTAGTAATCTTATAATAATAATAATAATAATAATAATAATAATAATAATAATAATAATAATAAATATAGCTGCATAGCAGCAATCACCGGTTTTCAAGACCATGGCACATGGCCAAGTCACATGCAATGCATGGCCATGT